CTTGTTTACTTATTTATTAAAATAAATAAATGGCTAGGAAATTGGCAGATGGAGCAAAAGCTGGATGGTCTAAGTTTGAATGCTGATCTGGTTCATGCACAATTTTAAAAAATGAATCTTTGTGCAAAATATTTGGTTTATTAGTCATTTTGATATGTGCCTAACTTTACTACAAGTAGTAATTTTAAAGGCTGGCTGTCATTTCAGAAGTGATAGATCAGCCATCTTGTATGTCTACAGTTGATAATAGGGATATCTGTACACTGTCATGCTGCCCCATCATTACTTGAGTAGCTGAGTCCTTTTTTATCATAGTGCATCATGCTTCATTAGTAATGAGAATTATTTTACTATTTGCTGCTCTTTGTATCACAGAGTTGGATCAGATTAATCATCTCTTGATATTGATCTATAACGCCTTACTGTTACAGCTCCCAAATGACCTCACATCTCATCTCTCATTTAAAACTGGGTTGTTATATCTTTAGCTATTTCATACGTGCACACAAATGTTGACAGGAACGCTTTTAGATACTATGCACATTTTCAATGGAGTGCAGTCTTCTCTCATGCTGGATTCTTATCTGATGCCTTATAGGATTCATGTAATTGTTTGCTAATTTTGCATTGTCTGCGGAAATGTTTGTTATTACTGTTATTTGTTATTACTTAGATTTTGTGTTACTTATTTATCTACTTAATATTTCATTTGCATTTTGTGGCATTCATGTGGACGGCAAAGTAAAAATTTCATTGTACAGGGAAACACGCTTCCTAAGTGTGCATATGACAAACACTTTGACCTTGACCTTTGACCTTGGAATGAGTTTATGACAATGTTTCTTGTTCTCAGGTTTCTTTTGAAAGACACACCGTGATCTCAGTGAGACTACTTGAGTATCTAGTTTCTCCTAACCAAGCCTTACATGCCTAAACCTAGTCAGACCTAGCAGATTCAGATCATATGATTTTACTTTTCATCTTTTTCAGTGACTTGTTAGAATTTTGGAAGGCACAGAGAAACAATGGTGTCAAAAGAGGCATCAGCATAGAGAATGCTTACACTAGATGTCATGTGGATGAATTGTGCCAATAGAAGCTCCTCCTTGCTGTTAACTGAGGAAAGTACAACAATGAAAACATGCTGAATACACTGTAGCTGTTCACATATCCAAGCCTTATAGATAAAGATTCTAAGAAAAGTATTCTCTGTCATTGTGGAAATGAAACTGCTCTTTCATAATGAGAAGTGTAGCTGCTGGTTCCATTGAGGGATCATTAGAGACTTTGCACTTGGTGAAGACCTTGCTCTCTGCTGCACAAGAGAAATCCCTGTTCAAACCAGAGGAATAGCATCAGTTCTACATAAGAGCAGTTTTCTTGATTCCAATCATAGAAGCAATCTTAATTTATTATTTCAGTGTGAGATGAACAAGTGTGACATTTAGCTGCTGAAGGAAAGTCTTAAACTGATAATCACTGCTGCTGTGTGAAAGTGCTATATTTCCAAAGTGCCAGTTTATCAGGATCTGGGAAAAGGGTCTTGTTTTTGTGTCCGTTTTGTTCCCCTAAGCCTTCTATTTGTATACAAGGCTAGCAGCTAAAATCTATAATACATACATGCATTTTCAATGTGTGTACTTGTGTTGTACGTAGTCCTTTGCAATGGCATATACTAGTCAGAATTCTACATTGATTTTCTCATTTAGCTTGAAGCTTTCATCTTCATCGTAATGTGATTTGCATGACATTTCAGTGAGTGACAAAGGCCCTTAGGTCTTAACAAACCAGCCCAATTAGTCTACTTAACAAACACAGTCAAGGTATGCAGAGGATTTAATGTGTCGTTTCATGAACCCTGTGAGATTTAAGGGTTAATTGTGAGGACGTTTCTTATGGAGAGTTAATTAGAATTAGTAATTCTTTGCCCATTAAGAAAATTAACTGGTACCGAGACATGCACCTAGTAAATACCATGAAACTGCAGGGCTATTGATCCCATCCTTCTCCTCTTTGTGATAAACATTGCAGTATTCAAGGACTATGTCAGCAAGGCAATTGAACACCTTTACTTGGAACACTTAGGGATTTATGACACAAGTTGCCCAGCTTACTCTGTTAGGTGAGAGATTGCTTTGCAAAACTTGGTCACACGGATGGGAACACTAATTTACAAGTACACGCCCGTGTAGCACAACTGCTTTTTTTCCCCTAACACCCTACAATTAAAATGTTTCTCTTTATAACTGTTTTTGTTATAGTTCTAGAGAAGTAAATCTTGAGAATGAAGCATATTCTTAAACACAGAAAATTTGGCCTTCAAAAAAAATTTCCGAAACAAAATGAATTTACAGTTGAAACTGTGGACATAATTTTCAAAAGTGAGATGTCAAACGCTAGCTAAAAATAGACCCCACTTCAAAGAGAATACAGCCCTGTTTTATACAGCTTTTGAACCCTGTGAATTTCGAGGATCAAAGTGCAGACGTGGTTTCTAATAAATACTGCCCCACTTTTTTGGTTTGGGAAAACTTCGCTGGGTGAATTTAGGACTCTATGGCAAGGGGATTGCAATGTCAAGTTGTATTGGCTAAGCAATGCATTATACTGTCGCTTTCCCTCAAAGCTGCGAGTCTGAAATATATAAATGCCACACACTTATCTCTGTAAGGATTATTGTGGAAGAAATGGATGTTTTCAGACACCAATGACACTTAATCGTTTCTCTGGATCTTATAAACAATACTCTATTAAAAGCACATTGTGTAACATGGGCAAAAATGTTGCTTCTTTTTTATGGTATTGTCAAAGTTTGATTATTTGTTATGTATATTGTATTGAGGTTGGAAAAATTTTAAGAGAGCTGCCTATTTTGGTAAGCATCTGATATAACTAAGGTCTAGGAACATGCAACTGGCTTTTTCCTCTGGGTTCTTTACAAAACCAAATTGTAGATATGTTAAAACCACTTACTCTACATTTCATGACTGTTTTCCCAAAGTTATTTCATTATGCTCAACCATTAGCTCAAAATGCTTAAGAATAAGGGAATCAGCTGTTGTAGGTAAGTGCTTTACCCTGTCATGATTATCTTTTGTGAGAACAAGAAAGGGAAAAAAAAACAGGAAGAGGAAGGTTTCTCTGAGTAATTTAAGGTCTGTGTCCCAGAAGTGTGAGCTTGGATATATGATGTCGATTACACAAACTGAGGCCCTTTTATATGACCCATATAGAGCCAGCGAGATGCCACTTTATCACCATGCAGCACACATGGGGCTGGTGTGCACTGATGTCAAATTTACAGTCAGTGCCAGTATATGCCTTGCTATTTCATTAAGCTAATATATTCCATCATGGCTGTGAGGAGAGATGCTGCAAGGAGCTGGCCTTATTGTGGCTCTGTACAGACACCCTGACCCGAATCGCTGCTCCATCTTTTTCTGACACATCTATTACCTTTACCTCACTGAATCAGCCAGCATATGGTGTGGTGTGCATCATAGCATTGTTTAGGAGAAGGCAGTCGGGTGACACACCAGTGGTGTTGCACTGCAGGGAGATGTTTGCAATCTGGAATCTGCCAGGATTAGCTGTTAATTTATGTGCAGTGTTTTGCTTCCAGTTCTGTTGTTATCAACAAACAATTGCTGCAATTGACAGAAACAGGCTGGCATCAGCTTGCTCAAAATAGTTTCTGAATATGGTTTGAATTAGTTACGTTCTTGAAAAGCTATTTCACCACAAAATTTAGTCTCTGGGGGAGATTTCTTTTCCCTTGGTTCTCTTGGCATTATCCTTCTCAAGCCTCTGGTGGATTGCCTCAGTGTTTTCTCACCAATTATTTATGAATCCCAATTCATAATGCATTCGTATGTGACAGTTCTGAGTTAGATTCGCACAAAGAGTTGGATGCACTGGTTTACAGCCTAGTCATATTCACCAGGAAAGGCCCAGCGTTGGCTTGGACAACTGCAGAGATGGAATGATGACACAGCAAACTGGAGATGAGGCCATGGAAAAGCCTGTGCATCAATCTTGTTCTGACGCTTGGTATTACTGCAGATTATGATATTTTTTGCATTAACATCCTTAGAAATATTGAGTAATATGCAGTAAAAATCCATAAACTGATAAGAAGTTTGTATGATTTATGTTAAAGATACTGGGCCCATGACGCATCATCTTTTTATATAGACGGGATTTAGACTATTGGATTGGTGTGTGTGTGTTTGTATGAGAGGTGGGGCTTAGTGTACCTGATATTATTACTTTATGACTGTTGCAATGCATCGGAGTCTCATTATATGAGTCCTGTTTGTTTTACATCTTCTGACTTTCTATTTGGTTATATGTATCACAAATTGTGTTACTGTGAGAGAAAAACATCTTTGATAACATTGAAATTCAAATTTCCATTTCTCAGCAAAGAGCCTCTGTTACTTCAGGAGCCTTGGTCTTGAGAGTTCAGCTTTGACAGCTTAGTGCTGTGAGTGGAATTTACAAGATTAATTCTTTACACTTACTAATGCAAAAATGGTGTAGCAACAATACGTCTCTTTCACATTAACGTGTTTTAAGATGAGTGTTTGATTGGACTTGCATTAACACAGGCCATGTCTATTTTAACATTTGCAGAGTTAAGTGAGCAAAGGGGTGTTTTAAGACATTTACTTTACATGATTACTGAATATTTTCCAAGATATGCTATTTACTTTCCCAGACAGCACTTACTTTCAGTCCACATTAGTTTTGTCTGAAAATCAATTAGATGAAACTTAAAACTTGCTTGAGATAGGTTATCGAAGGTCATCCATTAGTCAATATTTACATGTTTGAATTTGCATTTTATATGGCAAATGTGGCTCTTAAGATGCCTACAGAGATGGTTTGGCAGAATAATATTAACTGGGTTGTTGGCTGAATTTGAAAGGTAGGTGCTCAGCATGCCATTGCTACAACCAGTTTTTAACAGTGCGTGCATACTTCTCCTTATTTTCCAGTTACTAACTACCATGACTGTGCGACTGGGAACCAACATGCACAACACCAAGACGCTGAAACTCAAGAAGGTAAATGGAATTCAGAAATCATTACATTTATTATTTACATCTGTGCTTTTTCTGCTATGACATGTCAAAACGTGTTCTATGGAAAAACTTACAAGACTGTCCTCCTGTAAAGTATGATTGTATACGTCATTGGTGCCAGCAGATTATTACAACGAAACGTTATGTATCATAGTCTGGCAAAATATAATGATGGTCATTAATTATGACATGAAACCTAAGTTCAATTCTAGTGTGTGTTTTGCAAGAGTTTTTGTTCCTACAAGTAACAATGTGGTTTTGTTCCTAGACATGACCAAGTTGTTTTTCTTCAAAACATAACCAAGTAGTTTTTGCGCCTAATCATAACTGAGTGTTAGTACGATGTACCTTGTTTTTAATTTTGGCATGATTGTTGCAAATTCTTCCCTCTAACGTAGGAGTGCTATTTAGTGATACAGTCCTATGGGAGGGAAGGGACAAATGACCACATGGGTCTTATAGGTTGGAAGGCTCGTTGCACTTTAGAGGTCTCAGTCTTCTAACCAGCCAATTCTACATGTATCTCGTGAAATGGTACCAGCTTAAATAAGCACATATTATTCATGCTTTTTTATACACTGTTGCCTGTCCACATCCATATCTTTGCTTCACAAGTTAGCTTTTGGCAACAAGCTCCACTTCTGTACTTGTTCTTTAGAGCAGCTTCATCATTTGTGCTCCTATAATTTAAATGCAAAGCCAGACCTCAGGCATAATCAGATACTCTCTGATTTGTTTTTAGATTAGGTTCAGGAGTCATATGGTGTTTGTGCAGTGACTCTGTTGTTAAGATTTGAATGCAGTCAAGCTGGTGATTACACTTCTTCCAATACTGTGTTGCACAATATGTTTATTTCATATAACAACATGCTTGTTATATTTGGCACATTATGTAAAGCATACTCCTCCTGTAACACAATAGCAAAAATGTCTCGAGAAAAGTAAGAACAGGAAAACAAAACCTGCTTGTTTCAGCATTTACATTTGAATATGTTTAAATGCACACCACTATCCTAGTTTTGAGTCTCATCCTGGTGTTGGGATATGGTGTTTACATGGATCAGGAGAAGCTGTGTTGTTCATAGTCCTATATACATTATCCTAACAGTACTCTGTCTGTGTGCAGGTTTATCTTGATTCCTTAACATGTCAGTTACTCAATTTTGTGCCAACCGAGTTACCTTGACAGCTGTGGTTGCACAAAGTTTGGTGTCTGCTGTCTGAAATCTGCTGTGCTACACTTTACTTTTCTATTTGATCACCAGTCATAGAAAACAAGAGTGACAATACAACGTATGATGAACATTATAAAAATTACTGTTCAGTTTTATTGCATCTTTTACAACCATATTCAGTTGATCTGAACCGTTTTCCCCTCTTCCTTTCCAAACTTGTTAATTATTTTTATGACCCCTTAAGGGGTTCTGAACCCCGTGTTGGGAACCAGAAAAAGTGATACCTCATCCAAAAAATGTTTTAATGCTGTGATTAGACTACCTGCTAAACTGATTGAAATTCGATTCTCCTCCCCTCCGAGTGACTCAAATCGGATCTTTTCACAAATATCTGGACAAACCAAATCTGATTTTGTTTCAAATCAGATCTGGGCCACTTGCATATGCAGTCCTAGATCTGATTCATATCCGATCTCTGATTATGCGACTGTTCTTAGGTCTGATCCTCAGATCCTCTGCACCTCCATCACTGTCTGGTTTGGCTCAGCAACCAAACAGGACAAGTACAGACTTCAGTGGACAGTCGGGTCTGCAGAAAAGGTCATTGGTGTGAGCCTGCCCTCCATGGAGGACCTGTACACCTCATGGGTCAAAAGGAGGACAGAGAGGATCACTGCTGACCCCTCACACCCCGGACACAATCTGTTTGAACTCCTCCCCTCTGGATGGCCTTACAGGTCACTGTGCACTAAGACAACCAGGTTTCTTCCCCCAGGCTGTCGCTCTGATGAACACTTAACCCACAACAGTATGACTGGACAATAACCCTCAGTGCAATACCTGTAAATATACCCCGTACAGATTATAAGAGAGTTGTACAGGTCTCTAGTTCTTAAGTACTCTGTTTTATGTCATTTCAATGAACATTCCTTTGTTGTCTGCATTGTTTACTGTCTGTTTATACTGCTTTTTCTGCATTGTTTGCACTATTTGTTGATGTTAATACTGCTATTTTGTTATATTACACATCCTTATGCTGCTCTACTGTTTGCACATTGAGAGCCAATGTGCCAGAGTCAAATTCCTCGTGTGTCCATCACACCTGGCCAATAAAGCTGATTCTGATTCTGAATTCATGTTCATTCCTTTTTTTTCCTCAATGTCTGTCCTCTTTGCCTGCTCATATTGTCTTTCGTCATCATTCAGTGTCGGCTCCTCACAGAGCAGTTAAAATGATCAGAATCTGGTTTATTGGCCAGGTGTGTTGAACACATGAGGAATTTGACTCTGGTACAGTGGCTCTCAATGTGTATGTACAGTACAATGTTCTCCCATAAAGCATCAAGTAAATCTGCAGTTAGGAGATGACTGCTCTACCCAATGAACCACAGTCGCCCCCATTCAACATATATTTAAGTATATTTGCAAAATATTGCACTGAAAGTTCTTGTTCTGTTACACAGTCATGGGTTCAGTGTTCATCAATGTGAAACTGTCCTTGTATCTGGTTGTTTTGGCCTACAGTGACCTGTAATGCCGTCTAGAGGGGAGGAGATTAAACAGTTTGTGTCCAGGATGTGAGGGGTCTGCAGAAATCTTCTCTGTCCTCCTTTTGACCCGTGAGGTGTACAGGTCCTCCATGGAGGGCAGGCTGGCACCGATGATTCTTTCTGCAGTCCTGACTGTCTGCTGGAGTCTGTACTTGTCCTGTTTGGTTGCTGAACCAAACCAGACAGTGATGGAAGAGTAGAGAACAGTCTTGAAATAAACATAAGGGAAAGTAACAACAGTGACAGGGGCCAGTAGAGAGATGAGGACGTTTTACCTTTGCTGAACAGTTATGCTGAAGCTTCTGATCAAGCCAAACCAGAAGGAACATATTGTAACTGAGCAGCTTTGGAGAGAATTGTTCAATTTGGCTGTCACACAAGTGATGTTGTATTTGTACACCTGTGAGGACTCAGATTTCAATTAAATCTGTGTATGCATGACAGTTTAGGAGCTCAACTGTGTTCAAATAGGAGCGGGATACATGTCATTTACAAACATGAATGTGAACCATGAACAGAAAAAGATAAGATTGGGATTGAGCATAAAGGCCTATGAATGTAATGTTACTCACCGTAGGTTTAAATGTTTGTAGGTTTCACCGTTGAGGACTTGTTTTGTGGTTGAAAAATACATCTCTGTTGGGTTATTGTCGTCTTGGCAGTGTAATAAGCTGTATTCTGATAAAATGATAAGTGTTTGCAACATAGGTGGCATACAGATGAACAGTGGAGAGGTCAGTTATGTGGCAAAAATTGTTTCGGTTATTTTGATCCATTTTTCACTATAAAAATTGTTCCCATCCATGCATTGTAATTGAAACAAGTAGAAGCTGACAAATAGTTGTCAAACTCCATGAATGATAAAACTACTAACATTTTACAGCCACCTTTAGATTCAACACAGCTTGAGTGTTTGATACTCAAAAGAGAGATTTTTGGTCACTTTAACTTTATTCATTTTCACAGAGAATGTATTCAAATGTAATCATTTCTGGGTGGGTTGACTACCAGTAACCTTGGTGCTCCATGACAGAAGACACAATTATTCATCTGGCAAAGTCATGCTTCCCATTTCAGAGAAAAAGGCCTCCAATTTTTTTGCATTGCATTGCTGGTGCCTGAAATGAAAACAAGATGATACCAGAGAGCAGTGCAAAAGTCTTCATGAAATGTTCTGTGTGCCCTGACATTTCCAGTGAACGATTCACACAGAGGCCAGTTGTTCTGAATGCCAAAATGTGCCGGCAGTATTAGAACCTACAAATAAGTGAACCCAGTCAGCACAGCAGTGTTTTTTGTTTTCACATTATTGCTTACCCGTTGTGATGTGTGAACTGAGAAATCAAACGTGTGTGCAACCGAAAACGGCTTTCAGAGGGCATCTTACTGGAAAATAATTGCAGAGTAGTTTTCCACTTCTGATCAGATATACTGCTGGGTCAGGGCAACCGCTGCCTGCTAAAAGCATATAAAGACAAAATGTTTAGCAGCAAAGACCAGTTACTATGCATGACCTTACATATTATTAGTTGATTTGTTTTACATTCAGTCATAAAGTTCATTAAACTATGCTTTTGCAGATACTGCAGTCATCTTCCAGCACCTTGACACAAGTGATTATGAGTTGTCAGACATGCTAAATGAAAGTGTCAGTTTGGATGCTTGCTGTTGAAATTGCAGCCTGTGAGCACTCAGACTTCTCCAGGTCAAGCGTATATTCTTCTTAGAGGGGATCAGCAGGGAAGGTTGGGGCACAGCAGGTAAGTGTGCCAGGCCAGTTTACACCATTTTAGGACATGCTTTCTAATTAGTCCACAGCTGCAGTGCTCCTGGGAAATCACACATGCGTTTCCTGGTTCTCCCCAGCAGACTGCCTCTGTGAGACCATTAGAGCAGGCCTCCGTGTTATGGCTGACCAGCTTCCTCTGAAACTGTTACTCGAGATGTCAGAAAAATATGATTAACCTACTTTTGTTAAATATCTCATTTTTACAAATAGTTATTCATGAGGTGTGAAGCTGTGACCTTGGACTAGAGATGTATCTGATTGGGGGTCACAAGGGTATCCTTTTGAAAAGAGGAGTAAATCCCTGTAACTTGGCAAATATAACAAAAGGGTTTGGGCTTAACGATTTTCATGCACTGTGGGCATCTTGGTTGGTGCGATAAGTGAGAGCTGTTGTTTGACTTTGTCGAGACAGAACTAAAGCCCTTACACAGCTTCCATTATCCTTCTGTTTTCACAAAGCACTTCAGT